TTGGCTCCAACCCCAGGATATTGGTGGATCCCGAGTGTTTGGTGAAGGATGGGTAACCAGGGAAGAGTTATTGGAGTATGAATATGAAGAAGGGGAACCCATGTGCAGGTCATCCCCCCGGAATAGGGGGAGTCATGCTGTGTATAAGGTAGGTCGGCACTTACCTGAGAGAAGGGCACCGAGGAGAACGGCTAGCGGGGAGCGATGAGATCTCGCATACATGTCGTCTGACAGGTTGCAGGTCAATAGTGAAGGTATACAACCCCCGCAGGAAGGAAATGGCTCCCCTGATGCTCGCTGACACCTTGTATGGCCGCCGCAGAGGACGCAGATACCACTCTGCTCCACTCTGCTGAGAAATGAGGCCGTTTCCTGTGCAGTTCACAGAGTTCAAAGTCTGCAGAAGAAAATCCTGACATGTCACCATACACAGCAACTGCATTTATTGGGGTTCTTTAAAGTTCAACCATTTTATAACGAAATAGCCTTCCTCAGGGCCATCTTTAATATGAATTGAACCCGGGGCAAACATTTTCTTGCCCCCCCCCCATACAATTTTGCTCTCCACCTGCTCTGAGACATACAATAAATAGCAGCTAGACTCAAAATCAGTTTACTGCAGCAGATCAGGCAGCGATTGAGGTTACAGCACATCATTACTGCTCACTGACTGGTTACTAGAGGTTACAGCATGCATTACAGCTTACTGATTAGTTGCTAGAGGTTACCGCACATGATTTCTGCTTGCTGATTGGTTGCTAGAGGTTACTGCACATCCTTATTGTTCACTGATTGGTTACTAGACGTTACTGCACATTATTACCGCTCACTTGTTGGTTGCTTGAGGTTACTGCACATCATTACTGCTCACCAGTTGGTTGCTGGAAGTTACTGCACATAGTTATCACTCAATGATTGGCAGCTAGAGGTTAGAGCACACATTACGGCTCTCTGATTGGTTGCTAGAAGGTTGCAGCATCATCTCTCAGTGTTGCTCGGTGTGCCTCGGTGTTATTTTGAAAAAGGGTATTGTGTCAAGCTAGAGGTCGTATAAAGTCCAGGCGTGTCGTATAAAGTCCAGGCGTGTCATATAAGATCCAGGCGTGTCCTATAAAGTCCAGGCGTGTCTTATAAAGACCGGGCGTGTCGTATAAAGTCCAGGCGTGTCATATAAGATCCAGGCGTGATGTATAAAGTCCAGGCGTGTCGTATAAAGTCCGGGCGTGACGTATAAAGTCCGGGCGTGTCTTATAAAGTTCAGGCGTGTCGTATAAAGTCCGGGCGTGTCGTATAAAGTCCGGCCGTGTCATATAAAGTCCTGGCGTGTCGTATAAAGTCCGGGCGTGTTGTATAAAGTTCAGGCATATCGTATAAAGTCCGGGCGTGTTGTGTAAAGTCCAGGCGTGTCGTATAAAGTCCTGGCGTGTCGTATAAAGTCCTGGCGTGTCGTATAAAGTTCAGGAGTGTAGTATAAAGTCCGGGCGTGTCGTATAAAGTCCAGGCGTGTCGTATAAAGTCCGGGCGTGTCGTATAAAGTCCGGGCGTGTCGTATAAAGTCCGGGCGTGTCGTATAAAGTCCAGGCGTGTCGTATAAAGTCCGGGCGTGTCGTATAAAGTCCGGGCGTGTCGTATAAAGTCCAGGCGTGTCGTATAAAGTCCAGACGTGTCGTATAAAGTCCGGGCGTGTCGTATAAAGTCCGGGCGTGTCGTATAAAGTTCAGGCATGTCGTATAAAGTCCGGGCGTGTCTTATAAAGTCCGGGCGTGTCGTATAAAGTCCAGGCGTGTCGTATAAAGTCCAGGCGTGCCGTATAAAGTCCGGGCGTGTCGTATAAAGTCCGGGCGTGTCGTATAAAGTCCGGGCGTGTCGTATAAAGTCCGGGCGTGTCATATAAAGTCCGGCCCTGTTATTGGTGTCATTGGGCTCCATTGTTGGTGTCATTTGGTAGGAATTTTGCCCCCTCATTGGTGTCATCATTCTCCATTGTTGGTGTCAATGGAAGGAACCGTACCCCATTGTTGGTGTCATTGGGAGGAATTGCGCCCCTTCCTTGGTGTCAGTCAGTGAAATAGCGTCCCAAGCACCGGATAAAGGCAAGGGCCCAGAGCCGCAGTTAGAAGATCACTGCACCAAATCCCCAAAAGTACACCATCCCTACCATGAAGCATGGTGGTGGCAGATCATGCTTTGGGGCTGTTTTTCTTCAGCTAGAACCGGGTCCTTAGTCAAGAGGAACTTCGTCCTTCAGCATGTCAACGACCCAAATACACAAAAGAATGGCTTCACCAGAAGGAGATGGAAGTTCTGGAATGGCCCAACCAGAGTCCAGACCTAAACCCGATCGAACGTCTGTGGGGTGATCTGAAGAGGGCTGCGCATAGGACAGGAGAGGACGAATATTGCCAAGTTAGGATGTTCTGCGCTGATAGACTTCTCCCCAAAATACCGAGTGCAGGAATCACATCAAAAGGGGCGTCACCAAAGGATGAGTGTAAGGGTGTGAACACTTATGCAACCGGATTATTTTAGTGTTTTATTTTTACTTCCCCCCACCTAAAAGATTTCAGCTGAGTTGTATAATTTATAGCTCACATGAAAGGCGGAAAAAGTTCTGAAATGATTTCTTTTTGTCTCATTTTTTTTGCATCACAAAAACCCTGGGGGGGGGGGAGGCGTGAAGACTTCTTATATCCGCCGTACATCACCGCCGCAGGTCAGAAAATGGAACCGCCCTTCGCTGTCAGCAGCGCTGTGCTTCCTCTCCTCTGATTGTCACACATCAGCCCCAGGACACTCAGGGAGGCGGGTCACAGCTTTGTGACAGCCAATCACAGCGCAGTCTGAGTCTCTGAAGGAAAAAAAAAAAAAAAAAAATTAACCATTTCTGCCGTCTGCCGTCTACCCGGACCGACCAATAATTCTTCATCATCCGAGTAGGAAAAATAGAGAAAAGGCAGACATACTTAACCCCTTCCAGTCTGGACACTTTACCCCCCTTCCAGTCCGGACACTTTCCCCCCCTTCCAGTCCGGACACTTTCCCCTCCTTCCAGTCCGGACACTTTCACCCCCTTCCAGTCCGGACACTTTCACCCCCTTCCAGTCCGGACACTTTCACCCCCTTCCAGTCCGGACACTTTCCACCCCTTCCAGTCCGGACACTTTCCCCTCCTTCCAGTCCGGACAATTTTTCCCCCCCCTTCCAGTCCGGACACTTTCAACTCCTTCCAGTCCGGACACTTTCCCCCCCCCTTCCAGTCCGGACACTTTCACCTCCTTCCAGTCCGGACACTTTCACCCCCTTCCAGTCCGGACACTTTCACCTCCTTCCACTCCGGACACTGCCCCCCCCCCCTTCCAGTCCGGACACTTTCACCCCCTTCCAGTCTGGACACTTTCCCCCCTTCCAGTCCGGACACTTTCACCCCCTTCCAGTCCGGACACTTTCCCCCCCTTCCAGTCCGGACACTTTCACCCCCCTTCCAGTCCGGACACTTTCACCCCCTTCCAGTCCGGACACTTTCACCCCCCTTCCAGTCCGGACACTTTCCCCCCCCCTTCCAGTCCGGACACTTTCAACTCCTTCCAGTCCGGACACTTTCCCCCCCTTCCAGTCCGGACACTTTCACCCCCTTCCAGTCCGGACACTTTCACCTCCTTCCACTCCGGACACTGCCCCCCCCCCCCTTCCAGTCCGGACACTTTCACCCCCTTTCAGTCCGGACACTTTCCCCCCCTTCCAGTCCGGACACTTTCCCCCCCCCTTCCAGTCCGGACACTTTCACCTCCTTCCAGTCCGGACACTTTCACCTCCTTCCACTCCGGACACTTTCCCCCCCTTCCAGTCCGGACACTTTCACCCCCTTCCAGTCCGGACACTTTCACCCCCTTCCAGTCCGGACACTTCCCCCCCCTTCCAGTCCGGACACTTTCACCCCCTTTCAGTCCAGACACTTTCCCCCCCTTCCAGTCCGGACGCTTCCCCCCCCCTTCCAGTCCGGACACTTTCACCCCCTTCCAGTCCGGACACTCTCCCCCCTTCCAGTCCGGACACTTTCACCCCCTTTCAGTCCGGACACTTTCCCCCCCTTCCAGTCCGGACACTTTCCCCCCCTTCCAGTCCGGACACTTTCACCTCCTTCCAGTCCGGACACTTTCACCTCCTTCCACTCCGGACACTGCCCCCCCCCCCCTTCCAGTCCGGACACTTTCACCCCCTTCCAGTCCGGACACTTACCAGCCCCCCCCCTTCCAGTCCGGACACTTTTACCCCCTTTCAGTCCAGACACTTTCCCCCCCTTCCAGTCCGGACGCTTTCCCCCCCCCTTCCAGTCCGGACACTTTCCCCCCCTTCCAGTCCGGACAATTTCACCCCCTTCCAGTCCGGACACTTTCACCCCCTTCCAGTCCGGACACTTTCACCTCCTTCCAGTCCGGACACTTTTCCCCCCCCTTCCAGTCCGGACACTTTTCCCCCCCCTTCCAGTCTGGACACTTTCACCCCCTTCCAGTCCGGACACTTTCACCCCCTTCCAGTCCGGACACTTTCACCTCCTTCCAGTCCGGACACTTTCCCCCCCCCCTTCCAGTCCGGACACTTTCACCTCCTTCCAGTCCGGACACTTTCCCCCCCCCCTTCCAGTCCGGACAATTTCACCCCCTTCCAGTCCGGACACTTTCCCCCCCTTCCAGTCCGGACACTTTCCCCCCCTTCCAGTCCGGACACTTTCACCCCCTTCCAGTCCGGACACTTTCCCCCCCTTCCAGTCCGGACACTTTCACCCCCTTCCAGTCCGGACACTTTCCCCCCCTTCCAGTCCGGACACTTTTCCCCCTTCCAGTCCGGACACTTTCACCCCCTTCCAGTCCGGACGCTTTCCCCCCCTTCCAGTCCGGACACTTTAAACCCCCTTTTTTTTTTTACAGTGATTGCTTTTACACCCATAAAGGCTGTAAGAGGAATCATTTCTCTCTGGCTGCATTCCTGCAGCCATTGAGAAATACTGTGAGAGCTGTGATTGGTCACAGCTTGTCACATGGTACAAGGCTGTTGTGAATGGCCCTGTACCATGTGATCTCTGTGACCATTCACATATTTCACACGTAGTAAGCAATGTTGTCAGAAGTGACATCTTGCTTACTACTCTACATGTGATCACTGATTGGCCAAACAGTGATCACATGATCGGGACCTCACATAGAGGTCCCGTACGACGATCGGTACGACGATCAGTGTTCCACTGTGTCCGACCCTGCACTGCCACCGTCCGGCCGTTTATATACATGGGCGAAGGGAGGTGGTTAAAAAAGGCAGGATTACCAAAATTAAGTGAGGAGCAATTAAAATCCTTGGAATCAGCAATAACGCAGGAAATACACTTCGCATTAAAGAGCACTATAGCCGGGACCTGATGGATACACAGTGAGATATAAAAAAATATAAAGAATTATTAGTATCTAAACTGAGGATATATATGAATGCATTGGGAGGAGAGATGCAAATGAGGAGGGAATCCCTACAAGCCCATGTAGTTCTCATACATAAGGAAGGTAAAGATGATACTCACTGTTCAAGTTATAGACCGATTGCCTTATTAAACAAAGATACCAAACTATATACAAAAGTTCTGGCAAACAGGTTGAAAGATACACATAGACCAATGTATAAATGTATAAATGGATACACATAGACCAATGTATAAATGTATAAATGGATACACATAGACCAATGTATAAATGTATAAATGTATAAATGGATACACATAGGCCAATGTATAAATGTATAAATGTATAAATGTATAAATGGATACACATAGACCAATGTATAAATGTATAAATGGATACACATAGACCAATGTATAAATGTATAAATGGATACACATAGACCAATGTATAAATGTATAAATGGATACACATAGACCAATGTATAAAAGTATAAATGTATAAATGTATAAATGGATACACATAGACCAATGTATAAATGGATACACATAGACCAATGTGTATAAATGTATAAATGGATACACATAGACCAAGTAGGCTTTGTCCCAGGGAGAGAGGGTAGAGACAACGGACTGAGATCTCTGTTTCTCATACAAACAAAGTAGGAAAGAGAGAATCCCTGCGGTGGTACTCTCTATCGATGCTGAAAAGGCATTTGATAGAGTAGATTGTGGATATATGTTGGATACATTGGAAGTATTGGGGATGGGACCTAGAATAGAAGAGTGGATAAGGAAATTATATAGTCAACCCTCTGCAGCAATCATGGTTAATGGGGAACTGTCAGAGTATTTTGGGATGCAGAACGGAACTAGACAGGGACGCCCTTTGCCTCCATTGCTATGTGTTTTATCATTGGAATCTCTTTTGGCTACAATAAGGAACAATATAGATATAAAAGGAATTTGGATAGGAGATACGGAGCATAAGGTGGCAGCTTATGCAGATGACATGCTGTTCTATGTGGGAAACCCGAGGATAACATGGCCACATTTAATGAAATCACTGAAAGAATATGGGGAGATGTCAAATTTAAAAATTAACCCAACCAAAACAGGAATTTTAAACATAAATCTTCCAAATAGAGAGAAAAATAGGTTACAGGAGGAATTTCCCTTTGTTTGGAGAGAAAAAGAATTGAAATATCTAGGAATAAAATGACTGTATCCTCCAATGCTTGTATAAATTGAATTACCGTATTTTTCGCTCCATAAGACGCACCTAGGTTTTAGAGGTGAAAAACAAGAAAAAAAAATATTCTGAACCAATGGACTGCAGACACACAGTACAGGAGATGACCAGAGACTGCAGACACAGTACAGGAGATGACCAGAGACTGCGGACACAGTACAGGGAGATGACCAGAGACTGCGGACATAGTACAGGAGATGACCAGAGACTGCGGACATAGTAGAGGAGATGACCAGAGACTGCAGACATAGTACAGGAGATGACCAGAGACTGCGGACAATAGTACAACAGGAGATGACCAGAGACTGGGACACAGTACAGGGGATGACCAAAGACTGCGGACACAGTGCAGGGGATGACCAGAGACTGCGGACACAGTACAGGGGATGACCAGAGACTGCGGACACAGTACAGGAGATGACCAGAGACTGCGGACACAGTACAGGGATGACCAGAGACTGCAGACACAGTACAGGAGATGACCAGAGACTGCTGACACAGTACAGGAGATGACCAGAGACTGCAGACACAGTACAGGAGATGACCAGAGACTGCGGACATAGTACAGGAGATGACCAGAGACTGCGGACACAGTACAGGAGATGACCAGAGACTGCGGACAGTACAGGAAGATGATCAGAGACTGCGGACACAGTACAGGAGATGACCAGAGACTGCGGACACAGTACAGGAGATGACCAGAGACAGCGGACACAGTACAGGGGATGACCAGAGACTGCGGACATAGTACAGGGGATGACCAGAGACTGCGGACACAGTGCAGGGGATGACCAGAGACTGCGGACACAGTACAGGAGATGACCAGAGACTGCAGACACAGTACAGGAGATGACCAGAGACTGCAGACACAGTACAGGGGATGACCAGAGACTGCGGACACAGTACAGGGGATGACCAGAGACTGCGGACACAGTACAGGAGATGACCAAGACTGCGGACACAGTACAGGAGATGACCAGAGACTGCGGACACAGTACAGGAGATGACCAGAGACTGCAGACACAGTACAGGAGATGACCAGAGACTGCGGACACAGTACATGAGATGACCAGAGACTGCGGACAGTGCAGGGGAATGACCAGAGACTGCAAACAGTGCAGGGAATGACCAGAGACTGCAGACAGTGAAGGGGATGACCAGAGACTGCAGACAGTGAAGGGAATGACCAGAGACTGCTGACCTTTGGGAGGGAGGGGGAGCGGGTACCTGAATTTGACAGGTACCCGCTCCCACTTCCGCGGAGTTGTCCTTCCCTCTTCTTTTCCCGGGCCGGCTTCTGTGACAGCCGGGTGCCCACTGCGCATGCGCGAGAAGCGCTGCGCTTTGTGAATGGCTGGGCGCCTACTGGGACCTTTCATGTGTCCCAGAAGACACCGGATCATTCACAAAGCGCAGCGCTTCTCGCGCATGCGCAGTGGGCACCCGGCTGTCACAGAAGCCGGCCCGGGAAGACTGTGCAGCGCTGGAGCGAGGAACAGGTAAGGCCCTGCAGGAGAGAACAGCTGAGCGGCCGGCCCGGTATTCTGACATGGTGGCCGCAAAAATACCGGACCGGCCGCTTTATATTCGCTCCATAAGACGCACTGACATTTTCCCCCCTTTTTTGGGGGGAAAAAAGTGCGTCTTATGGAGCGAAAAATACGGTATAGTGCCATTGTTAAATGAGATCAGGGATGAACGAAGGAAATTAGGAGGGGGAACCCCGTCATGGATAGGTCGTATAAATTCCCTGCACTATGCTTGTGCGCGCTCCCTGGGAGCGTGCAGCACCGCGATCCGGTGCCCGCTGTGTCCTCCGGACACAGTGGAACACCGATCGTCATACGGGACCTCTGTGCGAGGTTCAGATCATGTGATCACTGATTGGCCAATCAGTGATTACATAAAGAGTAGTAAACAAGGTGTCACTTCTGACATCATTGCTTACTACGTGTGAAAAAATCTTTGAATGATCACAGAGATCACATGGTACAGGGCCAATCACAACAGCCTTGTCCATGTGACAAAGCTGTGACCAATCAAAGCTCACACAGTGTTTTCTCAATGGCTGCAGGAATGCAGCCAGAGAGAAGGAGAAATGATTCCTCTTACAGCCTTTATGGGCGTAAAAAGCAATCAGTGTGAAAAAAAAAAAAATCTTCCTCACCCCCCCACAAGCAGTACAATGTCACCATGGTGACCCCACACCGCTAGGGTGACAGGATGTAAAAAAAAAAAAACATAAATAATAATTAAAAAAAAAAATTTAAATAATGTAAAAAAAAATGTTTTTTAAAAATTATAATTTTTGATTATAAACTAACTTGGGTTATTTTTTTTTTACTCAAAAGATAACTGAATACATTTTGGCCGAGATTTATGATGAAATATTATTTATTTTGCAAAATTGTATAAAAAAAAAACCTTTTTTCTCAAAATTTTTGGACTTTTTCATTTACATAGCAAAAAAAATAAAGATCCCAGCGGGTGAATAAATACCACCAAATAAATTCATATGGGTACAGTGTTGCATGACCGCGCAATTGTCATTCAAAAACTGTGACAGCGCTGAAAGCTGAAAATTGGCCTGGGGGGGAAGGGGGTGAAAGTGTCCGTACTGGAAGACGGGGGGGAAATGTCCGGACTGGAAGGGGGTGAAAGTGTCCGGACTGGAAGGGGAGGGGAGTGTCCAGACTGGAAGGGGGGGGGGGGAAGTGTCCAGACTGGAAGGGGGTGAAAGTGTCCGGACTGGAAGGGAGGGAAAGAGTGTCCAGACTGGAAGAGGGTGAAAGTGTCCGGACTGGAAGGGGAGGGGAGTGTCCGGACTGGAAGGGGGGGAAAGTGTCCGGACTGGAAGGGGGGGGGGATGTACCGGACTGGAAGGGGGGGAAAGTGTCCGGACTGGAAGGAGGGGGAAAGTGTCCGGACTGGAAGGGGGGGAAAGTGTCCGGACTGGAAAGGGGGGGAAAGTGTCCGGACTGGAAGGGGGGGAAAGTGTCCGGACTGGAAGGGGGGGAAAGTGTCCGGACTGGAAGGGGGGGAAAGTGTCCGGACTGGAAGGAGGGGGGAAAGTGTCCGGACTGGAAGGAGGGGGAAAGTGTACAGGACTGGAAGGGGGGAAAGTGTCCAGACTGGAAGGGGGGGAAAGTGTCCGGACTGGAAGGAGGGGGAAAGTGTCCGGACTGGAAGGGGGTGAAAGTGTCCGGACTGGAAGGGGGTGAAAGTGTCCGGACTGGAAGGAGGGGGTTTAAAAAGTGTCCGGACTGGAAGGGGGTGAAAGTGTCCGGACTGGAAGGGGGGTAAAGTGTCCGGACTGGAAGGGGGGAAAGTGTCCGGACTGGAAGGAGGGGAAAGTGTCCGGACTGGAAGGGGGGGAAAGTGTCCGGACTGGAAGGGGGTGGGAAAAGTGTCTGGACTGGAAGGGGGGGAAAGTGTCTGGACTCGAAGGGGGGAAAGTGTCCGGACTGGAAGGAGGGGGAAAGTGTCCGGACTGGAAGGGGGGGGGGGAAGTGTCCGGACTGGAAGGGGGAAAGTGTCCGGACTGGAAGGAGGGGGAAAGTGTCCGGACTGGAAGGAGGGGAAAGTGTCCGGACTGGAAGGTGGGTGGGGGGGGGGGGGGGGAAGTGTCTGGACTGGAAGGGGGGGAAAGTGTCTGGACTGGAAGGGGGGGGAAAGTGTCCGGGACTGGAAGGGGGGAAAGTGTCCGGACTGGAAGGGGGGGGGGGAAGTGTCCAGACTGAAGGGGTGAAAGTGTCCGGACTGGAAGGGGGGGGGAAGTGTCCGGACTGGAAGGGGGTGAAAGTGTCCGGACTGGAAGGGGGGAAAGGTCTGTCCGGAGTCATCCTGGAAGGGGGGGAAAGTGACCTGGACTGGAAGGGGGGGGAAAGTGTCCGGACTGGAAGGAGGAGGGGGAAAGTGTCCGGACTGGAAGGGGGGGGGGGAAGTGTCCGGACTGGAAGGGGGTGAAAGTGTCCGGACTGGAAGGGGGGGGGGGGAAAGTGTCCGGACTGGAAGGAGGGAAAGTGTCCCCGGACTGGAAGGGGGGGGGAAAGTGTCCGGACTGGGAAGGGGGGTAAAGTGTCCGGACTGGAAGGGGGGGGGGAAGTGTCCGGACTGGAAGGGGGTGAAAGTGTCGGACTGGAAGGGGGGAAAGTATCCGGACTGGAAGGGGGGAAAGTGTCCGGACTGGAAGGGGGGAAAGTATCCGGACTGGCAGGGGGGGAAAGTGTACGGACTGGAAGGGGGTGAAAGTAGGTCCGGACTGGAAGGGGGGAAAGTGTACGGACTGGAAGGGGGTGAAAGTGTCCGGACTGGAAGGGGGGGAAAGTGTCTGGACTGGAAGGGAGGGGGAAAGTGTCCGGACTGGAAGGGGGGGGGGAAGTGTCCCGGACTGGAAGGGGGTGAAAAGTGTCCGGACTGGAAGGGGGGGGGAAGTGTCCGGACTGGAAGGAGAGGGAAAGTGTCCGGACTGGAAGGGGGGAAAGTGTCCGGACTGGAAGGGGGGGAAAGTGTCCGGACTGGAAGGGGGGGGGGAAGTGTCCGGACTGGAAGGGGGGTGAAAGTGTCCGGACTATGAAGGGGGGAAAGTATCCGGACTGGAAGGGGGGAAAGTATCCGGACTGGAAGGGGGGAAAAGTGTCCGGACTGGAAGGGGGGAAAGTGTCCGGACTGGAAGGGGGTGAAAGTGTCCGGACTGGAAGGGGGGAAAGTGTACGGACTGGAAGGGGGGGGAAGTGTCCGGACTGGAAGGGGGGGAAAGTGTACGGACTGGAAGGGGGGGAAAGTATCTGGACTGGAAGGGGGGAAAGTGTCTGGACTGGAAAGGGGGGAAGTGTCCGGACTGGAAGGGGGGGAAAGTATCCGGACTGGAAGGGGATAAAAAGTATCCGGACTGGAAGGGGGGAATGTGTCTGGACTGGAAGGGGGGGAAAGCGTCCGAACTGGAAGGGGGGGAAAGTGTCCGGACTGGAAGGGGGGGAAAGTGTCCGGACTGGAAGGAAGGGGGGGGGAAAGTATCTATCGGACTGGAAGGGGGGAAAGTGTCCGGACTGGAAGGGGGGGTGAAAGTGTCCGGACTGGAAGGGGGGGAAAGTGTCCGGACTGGAAGGGGGGAAAGTGTCCGGACTGGAAGGAGGGGGAAAGTGTCTGGACTGGAAGGGGGGGAAAGTGTCCGGACTGGAAGGGGAGGGGAGTGTCCGGACTGGAAGGGGGGAAAGTGTCCGGACTGGAAGGAGGGGAAAGTGTCTGGACTGGAAGGGGGGGAAAGTGTCCGGACTGGAAGGAAAGGGGAGGGGAAAGTGTCCGGACTGGAAGGGGGGTAAAGTCTACAAAGTCCCCCTCCCCCCCCCCCCCGATTGTTCTTTCGGACGAGATATATGCCGATTTTCGAACCGTCTATGTCCGGCATTAGAGGTTTGGGGGATTAACACAGAATAACATGGAAACATATTTTGTTCTTTTATGAGGATTACAATCTTCAGAGATGAAAAGGAAAATGCAGAGTAGAAGGGGGTCAGGGATTGGATGGGCGGGGGATGGGTGGTAAATAGGTAGGGGGGGGGGGGGGTGGGTGGTAAATAGGTAGGGGGGGGGGGATGGGGTGGTAAATAGGTAGGGGGGGGTTGGGTGGCAAATAGGTAGGGGGGGGGGTTGGGTGGTAAATAGGTTAGGGGGGGATGGGTGGTAAATAGGTAGGGGGGGGTTGGGTGGGTAAATAGGTGCGGGGGGGGGGAAGGGATGAAACAATAAATGTTTTGATATGATAAGATTTAATGTTTGTATAACTTGTTTATCTGAAAAATTAATTAATATTTTAATTAAAAAAATAATGCTCCATCATCTGATATAGGGGAGGCGGGACTACACCCCCCCCCTCCCCCCGGGCTCTGTGGGACCTTCTAATGAGTCCATAGAGAGAAAGGACTGGAGGGAGGAACCACAGAACCCTGCAGGAGGAACCTGGAGAAGTCAGGTGATGAAGACTGTATGAAGATAAAACCGATCTCTCTGTATTAATATGATGGATGATTGATCTCTCTGTATTATATGATGGATGATTGATCTCTCTGTATTATATGATGGATGATTGATCTCTCTGTATTATATGATGGAGATGATTGATCTCTCTGTATTATATGATGGATGATTGATCTCTCTGTATTGTATGATGGAGATGATTGATCTCTCTGTATTGTATGATGGAGATGATTGATCTCTCTGTAGATTGTATGATGGGGATGATTGATCTCTCTGTGTATTATATGATGGATGATTGATCTCTGTATTATATGATGGATGATTGATCTCTCTGTATTATATGATGGATGATTGATCTCTCTGTATTATATGATGGATGATTGATCTCTCTGTATTATATGATGGAGATGATTGATCTCTGTGATATTATATGATGGAGATTGATCTGATCTTTCTGATATTGTATGTATGGATGATGAGATGATTGATCTCTCTGTGTATTGTATGATGGAGATGATGATTGATCTCTCTGTATTGATTGATGTATTGGATGGAGATGATTGATCTCTCTGTATTATGATGGAGATGATTGATCTCTCTGTATTAGATGATGATGATTGATCTCTCTGTGTATTATATGATGGAGATGATTGATCTCTGTGTATTATATGATGGAGATGATTGATCTCTCTGTATTATATGATGATGATTGATTATTATGATGGAGATGATTGATCTCTGTGTATTATATGATGGAGATGATTGATCTCTGTGTATTATATGATGGAGATGATGATTGATCTCTCTCTGTATTATAGATGATGGAGATGATTGATCTCTCTGTATTTATGATGATGGGATGATTGATCTCTCTGTATTAT